ACACCCCAGGCTTTATGCTAGGAGGAAAATTCTCAACTGTCAGTACTTCTTTGCCAAGAACCACGCTATGCCCTCGATCTTCAGGTACTCAGAAATGTCACCTACACATGTTGAAAGTCACTACGGGTAACAGGCTGCACTCCCTTATACAGGCTAAATTGTCATCGTCACCCGTAAGCCCACTGAGGAGAACCAAACAAGTAGGCAGTGATCACATCAAAATCCTCTCACCAGAGAGAAGTCTTTGTTTGTTTTTGGTTGTGCACAGGGAAATGAGCCTATCAGCCTCGTGCAACCACCAGAGTAGATCTAGGGTCCCTACAGGTTCAGCTTAACCTCCTACACATGCAGGATCACCGCGGGAAAAATTATCCTAAAACGCCACGAAATTCGGAATCACCAATGGGCAAATCATGATCAATAGAGTGCTGGTGTGAAATGGGCTTTGCTGTAGCGGATTACATCGGAGTAGGTGAAGATGTACTTATACTGTACAAGACCTGTACAGTTATAAGCCGCTCTCTTCCCTAGCCAGAGCACTCAAGGAACGAAAACACTCACGTTCTTGAATTGATACATAAGGGATTTTGAGGTCAGGTATCTGAGTCAGGTCTGTCCTCTCCTCAGTCTTGCCCAGGACTGCGTAGGTGTGCGCATGCACGCATGTGCATTTATTCACACGGAAGATTCACATCAAATGGGCTGTTAATTTTTCATTTAACAAAAATTCAACTAACTATGGTGAGAGAGAGGTAAAGAGAGAAAAAGAAAAGAGAGGAGGAGCGTGGCCTGGGTGACGGTGCCCCTCGCTCTGGTCCCTGAGCGTGTACGCTTGTGTGTGCAAGAGCGTGCCCGCCCTCAGTGAGTGTGACAGAGCTGGGTAGCTGCCCTTCCCTCAGGAGTCTCAGGGCTGCCCTCCGTGAGCCCAGCGTCACGCTGAGGGTGATTCTGCTGTTTCACAACACCCAGTTTTCATTCAACACGGGCACAAGGTACGAAGTCTTGACAGGTGACGTTAACATTTTATCCCCACGGCAGGAGGAAGATCGGGTGTGATGGACTCGGTGCCGGGTGCCTTGATGTGGCACCTCTGAAAAGTGATTTTTAGAGGTAATGCTGGTATCATTTTCACCTTTTATTCTTGTTTCAGAATCTCGCCGTACAAACAGTTGAGTATTTTCACTTTTATTTCCAATTATACCTTCACAGCCTCCAGAGGAAGCAAACACTTCCTCCACTCTTGATGAACCCCTTCAGGTGCTGTAAAACTAAGGGAGATTTACTTAAGGTCATACACCAGGTTAGACTCCTCGCTGCCAGCCTGCCTCTTTTTTCCGAGACTATTTTTCCGGGCCAGGTAGACCAGAACAGGCACCGAGCCGCTCAGTGATGAGGCTTCACCCCTTCCAGAACCTTCCCCCACAGACTCCCCTCTGCTTGGACATGTGCACACACAGCAGCTGGCTTTAAGCCCCAGCTGGCTTCCAATTTTTTGATAGTTTTAATAAAAATATGTAAACGAAGAGATAAAATTCAAAGGGATACATGTACCCCTATGTTTATAACAGCAATATTTACAACGGCCAAGATATGAAAGCAGCCCAAGTGTCCGTTGACAGATGAATGGATAAAGAAGATGTGGCATATATACAGAATGGAATATTATTTAGCCACAAAAAGAATGAAATTTTGCCACTTGCAGCAACACGGATGGAGCTGGAGAGTATAATGCTAAGCGAAATAAGTCAGAGAAAGGCAAATACCATATGCTTTCACTCAGATGCGGAATTTAAGAAACAAACAAACAAAAAAGGGTAAAAAAGAGAGAGACCAACCAAGAAACAGACTCTTTAACTGTAGAGAACAAACTGATGGTTACCAGAGGGGAGGTAGGTGGGGGATGGCTGAAAAAGGTGATGGGGATTAAGAAGGGCACTGGTGATGAGCACAGGGTAATGTACGGAAGTGCTGAATCACTATATTGCACACCTGAAATTAACATTACACTGTATATCAACTACACTAGAATTAAAATTTTAAAAATTTTAAAAATACTATGTGGAAAAAACAATTTCTGTTTTTCTGAAAGTGGATTGTTTATGAGTAGACTCAATTCAACTCTAGTAGATTACAGATGTGTAGACATGCCAAAAACTGTACATATTCAGTAAAGTGTATTAAGATTTGGATTTCTCTCAAGAATTGTCAAAATGAAAGTCTGACTGTGTGTGTGAGTGTGTGTGTATGGTTAGGATATCTGCCATCTTGTAATTTCTTTTTTATTTTTTTAAAAAATTTATTTGAGAGAGGGCACACGTGCGTGAGCATGGGATGGGGGGCAGACTCCCCGCTGAGTGTGGAGTCCAACGTGGGGCTCGATCCCACAACCCAGAGATCACAACCTGAGCTGAAACCAAGAGTTGGACTCTCAACTGACTGTGCCACCCGGATGCCCCTTGTAATTTTTTTTAAAAGATTCTTGAAATAAAATGAATTCTGAAAGAATCTGCCAATTAGGTGACGTTTTTGATAATAACATACCCAAAGGAGAAAGAAAAAAAGAGAGATGATAGGAAACTCCTCTTCTCATGCAGAAGCAAGTGCTACATTTGAGAGTCCTGGCTTTGGAGTCACACTGATCAGGATGAGAATTCCAGCCCTGCCTCTTGAGAGAGCATCCTGCCTCTACACCCCCTTCTCCTCATCTATGACTGCACAGGGATGACATTCTTAATGTCATTCACTTATTGGTTCCTTCATTGGGGGTGGGAGGGATGGGGTGGCTGGGTGATAGACATTGGGGAGGGTATGTGCTACGGTGAGCGCTGTGAATTGTGCAAGACTGTTGAATCACAGATCTGTACTTCTGAAACAAATAACGCAACATATTATAAGAAAAAAGGAAAAGAAGAAGATAACAGGAGAGGAAGAAAAGGGGAGTATGTCAGAGGGGGAGACGAACCATGAGAGATGATGGACTCTGAAAAACAAACTGAGGGTTCTAGAGGGGAGGGGGGGAGGGGGATGGGTTATCCTGGTGATGGGTATTGAGGAGGGCACGTTCTGCATGGAGCACTGGGTGTTATGAACAAACAATGAATCATGGAACACTGCATCAAAAACTAATGATGTAATATATGGTGATTAACATAACAATAAAAAAAATTTAAAAAAAAATTTTAAAAGAATTAAAAAAAAAAAAAATGCCTTCCCCGACCAGCCACTGGTCTAGGTGCTGGCACAGGCTGTGCCCCTGCCTTCACAGAGTCTGTATTCTAAAGGAACAGAAGTGAGGTGTCCATGGGAAAACACACACACACGCCTGAGTGAGGGAAAATGGCAGCCCCCCAGCCGCAAGCCCGGGTGCCCTCAGAGAGCCGCCAAGTTCATGAGGGAAGTGGGGAGTACCACGCCCAAGGGAAGGTGGTGACTGCAAGTGTGAGACCCCCGAACAGCAGCCTCGTGGGAGCCTCAGAAGCCCAACTGCTCTCGGCAGGCAGTCATCCCATCCAAGCCCGCAGACACCCCAGGATGCCTGTGAAGGATAATGGCTGATGACCCCTGGTCTGTGCTATGTGTTGACCTTCGAAGCAAGAGGATGAAGGTGGGGGTCCGTGGCACCGCCTCCCATTCCTTTTCATCTCCCAGCAGCAGATCTAGGGTTGAACCCGCAGGTCAGGCTCTTGCTCGTTTCCCTGCGCATCCAGCAGCCAGGGGTTGGTAAAGGCGCGGGGCCTGGAGGACTGAAGCTATTGCCATCTTCATGAAAGGCTGTTTTCTGGCTCTGATAACTCTTCCTGACTCATCAACCCAGGTGCCTCTGCTCCTGCCCGCCCCTGACAAAGATGGTCCTCACACAGTGAGACGGGCCCCCCTTCCCTGCTCCACCAGCTCTCAGAACAGGGCAGGGCACGGGGCAGGGCTCAAGAAATGGCTGGAAAATAAAAGCAGCCCATGAACATGTAGGTCCATATGGCAGCCCGCCAGCCCATAGAACAGAGGCTACCTGGAGGTGTCCTTCCTCTGCCTCATAAACATAAGGCAACTCCATGATGGGATGGTCCCCAACATGAACAAATGAGTGGCACCTCCTTGGGAGGCTCACAGCCTTCTCTGCACAGTGCCCTCGCTCCTTCAAGCCTTCTATGAGTGCATCCAGAGCTGATGCATGCAAACATGTGTGTCGTTACTTCCACAGACTTGGAATCAAATGATGCTTGAAAATTTAACCAAGAAAAAAAAAAAATCTACAAAGTGATGTTGACTTCTGACCTGGGAAGACATTCTATAAAAGGGGAGGGGAGTGTGTGAAGGGGACTCCAGGCAAACATTCCAAAGAGGTTTAGAGCTGCAGCTGCATCAGTGGAGTAAGGATTTGCCTCCCAAGGGTGACAGCACTGATTCAGACGGAAAGGCTACAGAGTGTTCAGAAAAAAAACTCTACCTCTGATAAGGTAAGCAGAATGAGTCAAGAGTCATTCTTCTTCCTTCTTCTCTTTAGCTTTTCCCCGCCACCCCCGAATTATCTCAGGTATTTTAAGAACCTTGCTCCCATAAGATTTTCGGCTCATCGAGTTCCACAGAAAGTCCTTTTCATTTGGGACGGCACTGAATAGCCAGATTAATTTGGGGAGAACTAGAATCACTGAAATTCTGAGTCTTGCCATCCTAGGACAGAGGCACCTGTTCATCTTTCCAGGATTTCTTGAATGACCCCTGGCAAATTTTATTTTATATAAAAAGGTCTCACATTTCTTATTCGCCTCATTCTTGGGTATTCCCCATGGTTGGTAGATGTGGTGAATGAGGTCTGCTTTTTATTCTTCTGTAACCGATCTGCCTGTGTACAGGAAAGCCATGGATTATCATATAGGAGTCTTATGACTGGCACCAATGTGAACACAGTGGTTTCAACAGTTTGTCGGATGATTCTCTTACCACATGCAGATAACAACCACTTTGACTCTTCTCTTTCAATATTTATACCTCATTTCTTGCCTTATGAAATTTGGCAGACTTCCAAAACAATGGGAAATATTAGTTAACCACATGGGCACCTCTACCCTGGTCCCAAGTCTAATGGAAATGTTTTTAATACATACACACTGAATACATCTGCTCTAGATTGCTTGTAGGTAAGTATACTTGATCAACTCAAGGACATCTTCTAAATAATCATTTGAAGAGGACTTCCTCACTGCCATTTCAAAGTAAACACTAAGACAGTCTGACGTAGTGGACAGAGTGATGGTCCAAGGAGAAAGAGGTCATCGTTGGAGTTAAAGATTTGCCCCAATTAGCTGGGGGACCTGACACAAGGCTTCAACCATCCCAGGCCTGTTTTCTTAGCTGGGAAGTGTGGGGCTTGAACCAGATGACTATGAAAAGTTTTCCAGTTCAGGATGTAATCATTTCATGATTCTCAATCTAGAAGACTGAATGCAACTTAAGGTGGAGTTGCTATTCACTCTTTCAGTAAGAGCTAATTGAACAGGACCCTGTACCAGGCATTTTCAGGGCACCAGTTATACGGCAATGAATGGCATACACAGTCCCGCCTGCAGGAAGCTCACAGTCACGGCGGTGATCACAGATAAATCAATAAGTGCTGACCTATGCTGTCCAATGAAACTTCCTGTAATGAAGGAAAATCTCTGTGTGTGCTGTCCACTCTGGTGGCCACTGACCACAGGTGGCTACTGAGTGTTTAAAATGTGCTAGTGTCACTGAGGAACTCAAGTTCTTATCTTATTAAATTTTAATTAAGGTAAATTTAAAGATCCACCTGTGGCTGAGTGCTACCGTGCTGGACCATACAGGTGTAGGCAATAACGTGACTGAACTAATTTGAATACCATCATTGGGAGCTGTGGATGTCATCACATTGGTATAAGACTATATCCATACCCACAAATTACTTACAGACTTACAGACTCAGGGAGAAATAAGACAACCCAATGACACACCTGGAGAAGAATTAGTGGCTAGGTATAGATACTAGGAGCTAAAAGCCATGGACATTTAGAGAAGGGAAACTTCCACAGGTTATCTCATAGTGACTTTTTGTATGCCCTTCATTTGTGTCTAGTTTTTTCCACCTGCTGATGGTTGTGCTGATGATGCCATCTGTGAAAAGCCCTCTAAAACCCAGGGCTGGAGCGGAATGTATTAGAAGAACCTGTATTAGAAGAACCCTCTCTGCAGGCTTTACACAGCATCCAAGAAAATGAAAGAACGTGGGCCTAAATCGATTTAGACAATGAGGTGCCTGAAGAGCATACATAATCTCCAACAGAAAGAGGGATACCTCCTCTGTGCAATTAAATCTGGGGCATTCTCAGTGTCAGATCAATTGAGTCAAAGAATGACATAAGATAATGTGCCTTTGCTAATTAAAAAAGTGAATGGTGAGATACAGTAAGGCAGAGCAAAGGAGATAATTCTACTGCTGAAAAGGTCTGTGAGGCTCTCTTTTGCTTTTCAGAAGAAAATTTATTAAAAAAAATCTTTTTATTTCAAAAGAAGACTACAAAAGCAGTGAGCTCTTCTAAAACTAACCACAGACACAGTGAATGCCATCCTGGCCCCAGAGCTGTCATCCCTGCCTGCTCTGGGCCTAGAATGCAGACCTGCTGAAGCCCAGAATGCTATGAGCCGCATGTAGACACCATCAGCTCCAGGTGCTGGCAGCATCGACAAGTCTGAGCTCCCTCTGTTCCCCCACCCTCCCAAACTGCACGATGGTTCACTGGGATTCCTGTCCTTCAAGGCTATGGTGGGCCTTCATTTGGCTTGGCTGTATTTGATGGAGGCATGTGTGGGACATGGGAATGAAGTAGAGAAACTGAAGGACTCCATAAAAGCTGCATTTTGCTCCTCTTCTTCCTCCTATTTTTGCTGGGACCTGTACCCGCACACCACTGCATACATGCCTCATGGTGGAAACAGCGTGTGTCCTCTTTTTGAGGGACAGGGAGTTCATGTCTCTGGAACAGATAACACCTAAGGAAGGACCAGGCAAGAATGACCGGACAAAGCTACCATATGTGCATTCCAGACCACCGGCGCTAAACATCTCAACACCAAGACCCCCGGCTCCAAGGAATAACACCTGGGCCCTTGTCTTTGTTCTAACTGGTTCCTGGATGCCTAAGGGGACTTTATACCAGACCACTGTCCTCAGTAAAAACCCCCAGACCCCAAAAAAGGTGACACTCATGCTCCGGAGTCTCCCAGACAACTCCATCTGTATCTGCTCTCTCTACATTTTCAGTAAACTCTGCTCTCACTTCCGGCTGGCTCATGTTTGATTCCCAACCTGTGTGACGCCAAGGACCCCCTTGGCCAGTCCTGCAGGACCCCCTCTGGGTCTCTGGACTGCTAGCATCAGGAAGGGTTCCGAATGCAGGCTGATGCAGCATAAGTGGGTCTCAGCTCCTCGCTTTTCCCAGTCGGCCAAAGGGGCTCTGCAATGATGGGGAAACCAACCCTGAACTTTGGTTCCAGGGTAGCTCAACAAGAAGACCATGTGCCCGGCTTAGCAAGCAAGAACATTAACAGAAAAGTTGAGTACAGAGCATTTCTCTTTTAAGAAATGCTCTCCCAAGGTCCTGCCAAGGAAAGACGGCCACAACAGAACACTGTCCTTATCACGGCAGTGACTTTGTGAAAGGAAACTGGGAGATTGGGTGAGACCGAGAAGCATATGCTTTCTGCTTCTTGGTCTAAAGAGTAATTACTCTATCGGGGCTGCAGACACTGGACTGGACTAGGGCAGGAAATGGAAGGACAGCTAAAACCTTCCAAAGATGCAAATCCCGGGCTACTACATCCTACCTTCCAGACATCAAAAAGGAACTAGCAGTTAACAATGGATGGCAAAAATGACATGTAAATGGAGAGTGATATCCGAGTTTTAGGGAAATATACAGCCAGCCCCAATCCTATGTTGCTGTCCTCTGTGGAATGCGACCGAGGCAAGCACTTTGGGGGCGAAGGTCAAATCTCCTGGTCCCTCTGCAGTGAGGTAGAGAAGGGAGAAGAATGTGATTCTTTCCCTCCCCACCACTGGCATCCAGTGTCCCCACCTGTCCCCCTTGTGCCCCTGATTCAGAGGAACCTTCCCCCCCCACCCCCCCCAAAGCACTTTGCGTTTTAACAGTCAGCACATCCATCCAGAGGAGTGAGGAAATGGAGGGTGGGCTGGGCACTGTGGTGGCAGATGGGGCAAAGGGAGGGCAAAACTCACGGCACCAAAGTGCAGGCTCTGTTCACCAGAGGTGGAGATTCACCTATTCCTGTGTCAGCCGAAGGCTGCTGTTCACTCGGGTGTGAGCCAGGGAAGCCCAGAGGGTTTGAAGGACCTAAGTTGATACCCTAATCATGCCCTCATTCATCTACCAACACCAACTCCATGCCTGTCACATACCAGGCACGGCTCTAAGGACCCATGTGCCCACGGGACACCCATCAAAGGTGCAAATAAAGGTGGGTCTCTCCCTGGACACGGGTGCTGAAGAGGACACTAACAGTGGGAACAGGGAAAGGAGATACAATAAGATGGGGGGGGGGCGGTCCTGACCAAGCAGGAGGGAGCGCCTGGAAAAAGCAGAGGAACAGGGTTTTCATTGTGCCAGTACATGTTACATGTTGTTAACTCACTATACTGTCCCCACTTCACAGGTAAGAGAAATGAGAACAGAGAGGGAACTGAGAAATTGAGAAGCCCACCCAAGGTCAAAGAGCTGGTAAATGGTCAAGTATAATTTGAGCCTGGGCAGTCTCTACTCTGAACCTGAATGTATGGCCCAGCCCTTTGAGGATGAAATTTGCCCCCACGTCCAAAGGAGAGCAAAGGATGGGACCTGCTAACCCATGCCAAGAGTGGCTGTCTTGAAGTTCGGGGCAGGAGGGTGCTGACAGTGAGCCCTCAGAATACTGTGAACTACATAGAAAAATCCCTTTTGGCAATAGCAATGGAAAGTCAAGAGGCGCCGGAGGAGCTCAAGGTCTGCTCTCAGGGCAAAGGGACTTGCCAGTAAGAGCGTATGCAGAGAGGAGAGAGGAGAGGGGCTTACAGAGTAAGGACATGGCCTTGGGGAGAACGGGTGCTGGGAAGCAGCCAAGCGTTTTCCTGGGCCCAGTTTGAAGGAACCACACTTCCGCTCTCTGGGGACTGAGACATTCAGGAGGGGGTGCGGACTCGGTCCCCTTCCTTCCGGACACTTCCCAGTTCTCTTACCTGAAGCACACATTTGAGACATTGCTAGCATCCACCCTACCCTCCAGCCTTCCCATAAATATCTGAGGCTCAGAGGGCAAGGGCAGGAGAGGGAGACAGACATAACCAGAGCCATGAAATGCTGGCTGGGCACGGTAAGGTTTGAGAATGACTCAGAGAGCGTGGGGTCAGGGCGGGGAGCCCTGAAATTTTTGTGATATCTACCCATCCTCTCCTTTTATGGTACTTGAAAATTTTGCACATTAAAAACGTATCGCTAGGAGATCGCCACTCAGGATATTGACTCCTTTTTTAGTTGAGACCTGGGCTCTACAGAGCCACAGGATTTGAGATATTAAGGGCTCTTGAAGCTCCTCTGTCTGAGCCAGTGTGGAAACCAGAGCCCAAAGAGAGATGCCCACCCTATACCTCTCTGCTGACAGGAGCAAGCACTTCTAGGAACCAAGGGTCTCCTGTGTTCTGGTTTGAAATCAGATTTCTGGTCTACCTCCAGGTTCTGCCTTCATCCAACCCAGCCTGTGAACGGAGATGGCAATGGTGTCTAGAAGCTTGAGAAGACATCACACTGGGAATGCTTCAAAGGTCCTCTATGGACTTGAGGATAAAATTTGGTTTAGTGTTGGAAAACCTCAGAGTCAGCTCTCAAATGACTATCTTTTTAGATCTACCTAGAAGAAATGCTCTACGTTCACTATTTTCTATTGGCCTCCCCTTGCACTGCCCGCTCCTGAGCCCCCCACAAAGGAAGAAAATGATGACTTTTTTTTTTTCCTTTTTAACCACTGACATCCCTTAAGTAAACATGATTATTTCCAATTCCGCCTAGACTTAGCAACTGATTGCTTAGAAGGATTGGATTTAATAAGCCTTCCAATCACAAACAGTAACAACTGCCTGATTTCTCAAGGTGGGGGGCGTTTCTCAGCCGATAGGAGAAGGCCTGGCTTGGAGTAGCTAAAATAAGTGTACGGTAGAAATTAAAAAGATACAAAGGGGTAGGAGATGAAAACTGAGTCTCCCCTCCCCCACAGTAATTTCCTAGCCCCCTGCTGCCCACCCCTCACCCCAGTGGCAATCTCCATCACTCATTCTTCTAGGGGCTGCTGTTTTAATGGGCACTGGAAACCAGCCCCCAGCAATTCCTATCCCCTTCAAAGGCAGTGCAGAGGAGGAGATTAGCTGACCTGCAGGAGGGACCTGCTTCCCCAGGGGAAAACCTGCAGCTTCTCAAAGTTCAAAGACCCCTCAGGGACATCAAAGGGCACAGGATGCTCCAGGCAGCAGAAACCCTAAGGATAGGCTGCTTCCTGCTCCTAATGACCATCACCCCCTTCCTTTCCTTAAAAGCCACACACCAGGAGGGGCTTTATGGCCTAATTATTTGGACTCGGCCTTTTCCACCTTGCCCAGGGGGCCAGGTTGGGGGTGTGGGGGAGACATGTGTACTCCTTCACATTACCTCCCAGCACTGTGAAATGCGTGCCATGGGTCAGCAGGCCTGAGAGGGGTGTGGCCCCAAATGACCCCAGCCCCACAGCAGGCACTTACACGACTCCCACAAGACCCCAGGGCCTTTGCCCGTGCCCTTCACCTCTATGTGGACACCATTTCCTGTTCTCCCTACAGGCTGAAATCTTCCTCTTCCTGTAAGACCCAGATTACAGGGCCTCTTACTACCTCTCTGTAGTAGCCCTTGACCCTGTCCAGCTAAGAGGGATCCCTCCAGCCTGAACTCCCATGCACCATGGTCCTTGTCTCAAGGCCTCCCTGAAGGTGGGACTGGTCATTCTTCTCTACACCTCGCCAGCCCAGAGCCTCCCCACAGCCTGGCCACATGGGGCTAACCACACCGAAGGTGCTGATAAGTTAGTTAATTGATAGAATAGACTGAACAAAACCAATTTGAGTGTCTCTAAGAGTTTCTCCTGAAAGCTTTTACCCTCATGGCTCTACGGTCTCTTTGCTATATTTAGGTGACAGGGTGAGTCTGAGAGCACCACTTTCCCACAGAATTCCTGGGAGCCCCTTCTCCTGCAAGTGTAATAAAAAATCAGAACAGGCAGCCACACCTCCCATCAGGAACAATAGGGTCTCTATCATCCCTTTCCCGCTCTAAGGCAGGTTATGTCCTGCCTGATGAAATTTAACACTAGAGACCTAGGAGAATTTCAGAGACAAATCCTACAGTCTTAACGACCAAGAGGGACCTGGCACCATTTCTGTAAGCGCTGGTTCTCACACCCAGCCGCACAGTGGACTCTCCTGGCAATCCGTGGAAAATGCTGGGGCCTGGCTCCCACCAGCAGAGGTTTTGATTTCACTGGTAGGAGGCACGACTTGAGCAGCAGATTTTTAAAAGTTCCCAGGCGATTCTCAAGTGCATTAGAACTGCTGTGACGGTGTTGACCGGTGGTTCTCAGACTTCAGTGCACACTAGAATCCCCACCGCGGACCTGTGAAAGCTCAGATGGCTGGCCCCAGCCCAGAGTTTCTGATTCAACAGGTCCAAGGTGGGGCGGGGGGGCGGGGAAGGGAGGGTGGCAGGACAAGGGATAAGGATCTGCAAGTCTATTAAGTTCCCCAGGGATGCTGAAGCTGCTGGTCCAAGGAACACACCTGATATAGCCACTGCTGATGGTTTTTACTACGTGTCCCCCACCGGCTGCAGGTGAGAATCACCTGGGACACTTTGACCAGTGCCAATGCCTGGGGCCCCCCTCCGACCAAGTAAATCAGGATTCCTGAGGGTGTGGCAGGCACCTGTATTTTTCAGGGGCTCCCAAGTTTTGAGTCCGGTGTACCTCCAGCGCTAAGAACTTTGCTTCTAAGACACATTCTGTCCGTGAATGTGGCGGCAGGGGCCCACCCACAGCTTCTTCCTATTCTGAGCACAGACGGGCCTTCGTGCAGCTTCCACGCCCAGACCCCATGCCCGCCTTCTCGGAGAGCACTGATGCAAACCCCCGCTCTTTGTGACGTGACGGAGCCCAAACCTTTGAGATCACACCCTTGCCCTCCTTTGCTCTTCCCTCCTCCTGCCCACAAATTCCAGGGAGAAGTCCACATGGATAACAAACGGCAGGACTTCTCACCAAGCTTTCAGCCAGGCGGCAGAGATTTAGGACAATCACTTTGTGGTGAGTCAAAGTCAAAAATCCTGACTGTACTTTAGTTCTGCCTGGATTCCCAGTTTTGGGGGGCAAGACCTAGGGAGGGCATTCCTGTCGGGAGATTCTGGACACACTCAAAGTCCAAGGCCCAAATGTTCCATCTACAAATTTTACCCTGATGGTGAAGATTCTAAGGAACAACTTTTGGGAACGGTGATCACCCTATTGCTAAATTATCCAGTGCTAGTTTGTGGGACTCTCCGTGAAGCATTCTGGGTACACTGTACATAGAGAATCTTTGTTTCTCTAACACCAAGGATTTGTTTGAGAGATTTCAATACAACTGAGACCTTGGGGGCTCCGTTACTGCTACTTCTTTTTCCCTTTATTTTTTTGAGGCTCTTCTTAAGCAATACTTTTTATCTTAAAAAAGAAATCTTCACTTCCCCTACTATAAATTACAGCTTCTTACAGTAATCACTGCTGCTTAACTGGCATTCAATTTACAGGATAAAAATATATTTCTCTGGCCGTCTTAACGACTGTGTACACAGCTTGTCCTCAAACCCTCTCTGAATTTTGGCTCAGAGCAACTATCATGTTAAGAGGATGGAATGCGGTTTCAAGCAATGCCAGGAGGATTGCATAAGCGATAATTGATATTTTTACCAGCGGCAACTTTGTAGTTGATAATGGGTTATTAAAACAGGAAAAGAGGCCCTCCCCGCAGAATCCCATCTGAGATGTAAAAGGAAAGGTGTTCCAGACAAAAAAGCCCCTCGGTGTCAATAAAGGGTGGTTCTGGCAGGTCCCATAGCTTCCAGAATGTGCAGCCCTGGGCAGAAAGCAGCAGAGAAGAGAAACCCCCTTGTTTCAGGGTCTCCGGGGCTGAAGCCCGGGCAGCGGCTGCCCCTTCGCCCTCCCTCCCCTTCAGCCACATGCGACCCAGCTCTTGGTGGGGCTCTGTCACACTTCTTGAGTGAAGGGTGGTTGGGCGCGGGGGAGAGACAGAAATAGCAAAGGGTACCAAGTATCCTGCCATCCATGTTCCTTTTTAAAAAATAATTTTGATACTGGCTTTTATTTAAATGTCTGCTTCCAACTTATGTTTAGAGAAGGGAATCGGCATCAAATCTGGCAAGCCTGACAGAGCAGAAACTCACTGGTCTGAAATGGGACCCCCCGGCCGGGGGTCCTCATCTTTGGCCACTCCCCACACCCAAGCCGTATCCTCCAGATAAGATGTCAAAGAGGTGTCACTTCATTGAAGGCAGCAGAAGGCTCATCCATTACAAATACCATAGGTTGTCTCCCCCCACCCGCCATTTTGAGGTTTTCAAGACAATCCTAATTCTTTAGGAAACAGAACCAACATGCTGATCCTTTATGCATAAAAGGAGGCTGAGGTACAGGGGATGGTGAGGGAAGGTGGGCCAGGGCAGGGTGGAAACACTAGACCCCAGGGATCACTCTCAGGAAATCACCAGCTCACACTCCGCCTGCGCCGTATCACATCAGTGCGGATTCCGGCTCTGGGGGCCACACCACCGTCTATGTGGCTGTCTCCCCCCCGGCCCCCAGAAGGGTGATGTGGTGGCCCTCCTCGCTGCTTTGCAAGATTTCATACTTTTTCTTTCCCTCCCTTCCTCACCCTCCTCCAGCTTCAACACAGACTTGGTCTTACCAGTGTCACAGGCATATAAGCACTTATTTTTTTTTTTTTTTTTTTTTGTGGCCAAGACTTTTCTTTTTAGGGTACTGGAAGGAAGACTGCTGGAGGCGGCAGGGGGGGTGGGGGAAGGGACAGAGAGAGAGAGAGAGACAGAGAGAGAGTGAGCCGAAGGTGGTGGAAACAGTGATAGACTGAGCTGCTTGCGTCAGCACTCCCTGGAACAAGATAACAGGCCCTGCCGCCCCCCGGGGCCATGAAACCAAACAAAGTCACACTGACCCACGCAGGTATGGACTCTCTCTGCTGCTACATCTTGCTTTCTTTCTGAGTCAACCCCAGTGTCCAGTGGAATTGCCTACAAGCTATATCCACGGCTGGTCAAGTCCGGGGGGGCCCAGGGCCCACCTTTTTGCTCCCCATCTTCCCTGCTCCATTTGCCCTGGTTCCAGAAGGCACCACAACCCAGCAGCAGCACAGTCAGGCGTCCAAACCGTAAAGGAGCATCTCCGGGTCAGAGGAAGAGATGTGCGAAACCCCAAAGACCACAAAGAGTGAAGGCTTTCCAAAGCCAACTCATCCTGACCTCCTTCTGAAAATGTATAGAGCTCTTCAGAAGCAGGGAATGCCGGTGGTCACCATCTCCAGGGGCCTTTTCTCTGTCGCTACAAAAGAAAGTCAAAGGGACAGCACCACACCGGAACCCATGACAACTGAGGCTCCTTTGCAAAATGAGTGTGGCTGCCTAAGAATGCAGGAACCCCATGTTTTTGATGCTTCCAGGGTCATCAGACAGTCACCTGCCCACATGGAAAAGGCCATCAACTGATGGGCGTGAATGAAGGAGAGCGGTTATTACTGACGGTGAACAGAGCTGATGAATGGATGTGGACAGCTTCAAACAGTGCGCGACACAATGCAAGCCCATAGCTGCCATGACGATGGCCAGGAGGAAGGCAAGGATAATGAAATTGCTCATGTGAATGAGTACAGGCCCCCCAACTTGGTCGTTTGTTGGAAACACCTAAGGAAGTTCAGAAAAACCCCACCTGCAGAAATGCTGATCTAATTGGAATGAGGTGCAGCCTGGACAACTGCTTTTTAATGTTTTTTGAGGGGGAGGGGCTAAGGGGGAGAGAGAGAGAGAGAGAGAGAATCGTAAGCAGGCTCTACACCCAGCATGGAGCCCAATGCAGGGGCTCGATCTCACGACCCCGAGATCATGACCCGAGCTGAAATCAAGAGTCAGGATGCTTCACCAACTGAGCCACCCAGGTGCCGCAGGACATCTGCATTTTTAAAAGATCCTCAAGGAATGATCTTACGCTGAACTTCTAAATTTTGAAATAATTAAAGGTGCATAGGCGACCAAAAAGAAAAATGCAGAGAGGTTTGTGCACCCTTCACCCAGCCTCCTGCTATGGTAACATCTGGCATCATAACTATAATGCAATGTCAAAACCAGAAAATGAACCTTGGTACAATCCATAGTGCTTCTTCAGATCTCATCAGTTCTACATGCACACTCTCACTGTGTACTTCTGTGCAATCTTATCACACATTCAGCTTCCTATAACCACCAGCTCAGTCAAGAAATCAGAGCATTACCACAACGGAGTGCCTGGGTGGCTCAGTCGGTTGAGCGTCCGACTTCAGCTCCGGTCATGATCTTGGGGTCCTGGGATCAAGCCCTGCATTGGGCTCTGTGCTCAGTGGGGAGTCAGCTTGTCCCTCTCCCTCTGCCCCTCCCCCACTCATGCTCACTCTCTCAAATAAATAAAATCTTTTTAAAAAATCAGAGTATTACCACAAGACTACCCTTTTGTGGCCATATTCACATTTCCCCCCATCCTTTAAACCCTAACAGTCACTAGCCTGTTCCTTATCTCTATAATTATGTTATTTCACAAACGTTAGGTAAATAGAATCATGCAATGTTCACCCTTTTAAGACTGCCTTTTTTCACTCAGTATAATTTCTTTGAAGTTCATCCAAATGGCAGTGTGCATCCACAACCCATTCATTTTGCACTGCTGAGTAGTAGTCCATAACGTAGAGGTACCCCCACTGGTATAGCCATTCGCCCACTGAAAGACATCTGGGCAATTTCAGGTTTGGGGTTACTATGATGAAAAGCTGCTACAAACATTCATGTGTACGTTTCTGGGTAAAAATAAGTTTTTCTTTCTCTGGGAGAAATGCCCCAGAGCACAATCCCTGGATCTTGAAGTAAATATCAGTTTGAAAAGGAACTGCCAACACCTATCTTCCTGAATGGCCATTTTAGCAGATAGTCATCCTGCCTGGGTTTACTGTGCAGGTGCTGGCCCACTTCTGTGAGCTTCAGCGCCAATGACCCTTTAGCGTCCAGGCCCCCACAATGTTCTTCCGGTCTGCCTTGTTTCCCTCGTGCCACCAGGGCTCTGATTCAGTTCCTGTTCAGTTCAGGTCAGATGGTGACATCCACAGGGCCAGAAGGCCCTCGCCTGATGTTGCCTGCTACTGCAGGGCCTGGGTCTCCTTATGCCCATACGTGGGGGGGGGAGGGGGAGGCAGGGAGACAGACACAGGGCTTTGCTGCTGCCGCCAGCACATTTGGCTGCTCACCTGTGTCCTGCTTAGGAGGCAGGTGTCGGGTTGACCGAGGGGTCATTGCTGCAGCTGCAGGTAGATGAGCCAGCCCCCCACATCCTGCTTATGGAGCGGCTGTGAGGGCTCCCCGTGAGGCCATTGCCTTTCCCAGCCCATTGGCCAGAGAGAGCAGGCAGCTCGTGGGTTGTGTGTCTACGTCCGTTGACAGTCCAGGATACATGGGAGGTAAAAAGAAAACCAGGACTTCACTCTGTGTACGTTCCTCGAGTGCTAAGCTTCCGGCTTTCATAGTCTTTTCATTGCTTGTCTGTTGAATAATTTCCGAGGTACTGGGCTGTATTTCAAGGACAGGAGCATGGAAAAGAGAGTCTGGACCCACCTCATTCCAGTACCAGAGGTCACCACTGTCTGTTTTAATCCTCCTGACCATGCACTGAGGGAGGACAAATCAGTATGCCCATTACACAGATGGGGAGACTGAGGGCACCTGGAGGTTGGTGGCTTGCCTCACCTGTGACAAAGCTGCCTTCAGGATTTATGCCTTGAAAGCCTGAACTGAAGCTGCAGACTTGGACTGCACATCCGGGCGGAACCCCTGAGGCCCATGCCCTAGGGGGCAGCAGGGGCCCTGCCGCTCCTCCATAT